CCCGCCCCCCAAGGCGGCTGCCTCTTAATGAGAGGCAGCAGCTTAGGGTGGCAGGCGGGATCTAGTCTGCAACGGGAGCCAGTTTAAAAACCAGCTCCCTGCGCAGACCAGCTTCTGCCTGCCACCCCACTCGACTGCCTCTGATAGAGAGGCTCCCCTGAGCACCAGCTCCTGCCTGTCTCCCCTCCCGCTGCCTCTGTGGTGGTTCTGCGGAGCTGGCTCCCCTTATATATTGGCTTCCACCTGTCCTCCTCTCCACCCCACGCTGGTACATAGAGGCGCAAGAGCATGAAAGGGCCAGTGGCTCCACGGGAGCTGATACGTGCAGGCAGCTGGCTTGAAAGCTGGCTTCCTGCGTGTACCGGCTCCTGCCTATCAGAGGCAGCAGCACAGGGATGGGATGTGTGGAGGGCAGCTCCATAGGATCCAGCGCTCGTGGGGAGTCAGCTTAAACGCTGGCTCCCCACTGGCACCAGCTTGCACCTCTCCCCCCTTGCTGCCTCTGATACAGCCCAGGCTTATCGGTTAATCATGTAGTCAACTACACGTTGACATCCCTCGTCTAGAAATGGTACTCAGAGTGTAATAGCACAAAACAACATCAAACTATCTGTGAAACTCTGAGTACCTTTCCCAGACCGGAGGCAAAGTGATGTGTAGCTTGGCAGTTTCTCTGTCACCAAGGCTGTGTCCAGACTCAGGGGTTTTTTCGGGAAAAGTAGCCTTTTTCCGAAAAAACTTCACCTGCGTCTATACTGCAGCCGCGTTCTTTCAAAATTAAATCGAAAGAACGTGGCTTTTCTTTCGACGGCGGTAAACCTCATTTCACGAGGAAGAACGCCTTCTTTCGAAAGTGCTTCTTTCGAAAGAAGGCGTTCTTGAATGTAAATAGGGCTTCTTCGAAAGAGAGCATCCAGACTCACTGGGTGCTTTCTTTCGAAAAAGCGGCTTGCTCTTTCGAAAGTTCCGCGTGCAGTCTAGACGCTCTCTTTCGAAAGAGGCTTGCAGTCTAGACATAGCCCAACAGAAACTGGTGTCAAACACTACCTGGTCTCTCAAATATCTGGGGACCTACATGGCTACAGCAACAAAGCTTATCTAGTGACTGAATCAATTAAGGTTCAGAGAATCTACAGTTTTTGGCATTTCAACTATCTTAACAGTAAGCAGGTAACCTCAGTAAACAATTTCCCAGACTATTTTTCAGTCACCACGTATGGTCCTAATTCTGCAAAGAATTATAACCATGTAACTTTCTGTTTCACCTATTCCCCCCACCCTTGCAGGTTAAAATTCTGTTAGCTGAACTGCTTTTAAATATAGCATACCAACACTCTTTGCTTGACCAGTGGATGTAATGCAGAAATATTTTTCAGAGGACCTTTAAACAAACACATCCTAGACTAAAACACAGTATTGGCCTCATTTGTGAAGTAATGATATCTAGGTAGACAAGCCAGTTTACTCTAATGAAAAAGGAACATTTTTGGCTATAAGGGAGCATACCCTGAGGTTGTAACACAATAGCAAAAACTTTCTAATCTGTTGTTCTTTCTAATCTGTTTGTCCTGTCAATTTCCTCATAAACACAAGTTGTACCTTTCTGAAAACCCTATAAGAAAGAGTCAGGAGCTTGAATTTAGAGGTATGCTTATTTCCTGTTCAGGATAGGCAGAGGGCTCTGTTTGCTATCATTAAATCAGTTGTTTGAAAATATACAATTAAAAGGGAGTATCAAGTCTTGTCATATATAGTTAACAAGAGTTAGGATGATTCAGACAATGCTGCCACATCTACAAGAGGGGTCCACGGCATGGGGTTCCCATCTGAGACAGAATGAAGTACCAGTGACAAGTTTATTTCTTGTGCTTCAGTATTTCCATGGGTTTGCAGAACAGCTGCTACTTACTGAATGAAGGTTCTCCAGTGATACTGCAAGATGCTGAAGTTATTAATGAGTACAATCAATTTATCATTAGGGAAAATCACATATTCTTCTTTATTTCTATTGACCAGAAATCTTCACTCATTACTCGCTACACTACTGTCACAAATACAGGTATCTGGTCTAAACACTGTATCTAGACTTCACTTTCCTTCTTCCCCCTTTCCGCCCCCCTCTCTCCCCATGGTCACAGCATAGATGTCTGAGGTAGAAAGAGGAAAGATGCTTATTTATTGAATTTTGGGCCTTGTAGGTAAGAAGAATAAAATAACGTTGTAGGGGGCCCAGCCTTGTTAGTGTTAACCCCAAACAAAATACTACATCACAGGCAGTTGAAATCCAACTGGAAGATGTTGCTGTTGGAAAGCTGCAGTAGCTCTCAACTATTCCACTGATGACCCAACTAGAGAAAAACAGGATGCTGGACACCAAATTCATAGGCTTTCCTAATTATTGGCACCTATTTTCCAGATCACCCAGAAGGGCTCCACAGAACATAGTCAGAAAAGATCAAGGGGCTACAGAATAGGGCTACATTTCATATAGACAAGGTTGAGCTGCAACATAATTGTTTGCTTGTGACATTTAAACATATGTGTTCAGTTTCTGTAACTCATTTTTATATCAGATAACTCAGCTCCCTGAGAAGTTTTTAAGATGTGCTGAGGTGGAATTTTTACAAATGAACAGACCCCATTCATTAAGTACAAGTGTTTGGGAACAAAACACATTTCTAATAGCTGTGTTTGGTGCACTGATAAACTGGTGATGGACACCTTCAAACCACAGACAGATAGTATAAAAGTCTAAAGACAAGGCAAATTGCCAACTTGTCTGTTCAGAGACTTAAGGGTCCAATCTGCCACTTTTGAAACCCACATTTCTACTATTCCACTGACAGCTGCAAGTATCAGGCAGGAAGTTTCCACCCATCTACACTACATATAGGACTGCATATATGTCCAGATATCTTACTAATGTTTGGGTGTTTACATTCCTCTGAAGCAACAAATTCCCCTGAATGCTCTACAGGGCCTAAAGCAACTTTAGTTTGATCTAATATAGCACACCTATACAGTGCTGTGAAAGTCAGGAGACAACCTTGTGCAGCTCAGTAATTTAGCTTTCATGTGGCAGGCAGTCATCTGCCAAACACATATGCAAGTCTA